CGGGATCTGCTGAGAAAAATTTCACTAATCTTTGAGAGTAGATTGCGGGGTCTGATAACAAAATCTTTACTAATCCTCTGAGATAATAATAGATCACAGGACGTCCAACAATAATTTTACTAATTTCCTGAGATAATAATGCATCAGGGATTTTTTCAATAAAATTTCATCCGAATATTTATTCAAATGTTTTTTTGGTGGAGAAAAAAAAAGGAAAAAATAAACTAACCTTTGATAATAACATTATAAATGAATACATATATATACTACAATTTTTAAGTATATTTCAATATTATCAGATGCAAAAAATAATATTTGATTATTATTATTATTTCTTCCTCCTTTTTCCAGAAAAAAGTTATAATAACAAATTTTAGTTTGTCAGTTCCTTCTCGATAATTTTTCTTATCACTTGTCATTACATTTATTTCCTTAACTCTATTAATAAATGAAACGAATGATTCAACAATATTGAGTAGTAAGGGATGTATTTTAATAATTTGAATACTATAAAATGTAAAAGCAAAGTTAATTGGATAATCAACAGAATCAAATTATATATAATGCTGTGGAAGTAAGTTTTATGTTATTAAATTTTAATGTGTCAATTCCTTCTTTGTAATCTTATCATTTATCACCACGTTTGCCGTTTTAAGCTTAATCTCTTCATTCATTCCAAATGACAAATTTAGTGATATTAGAACATAAATATTTTCTTTCATGGACATTTTGCTTTCAGTTTTCCGTAAATATTAAAAAATTTCTTCAAAAAATTTTTTATTTTTATTAGAAAAATTTATGAATCATTTCTCCTTTTCTTCCATCAGTCATCATTTTCGCACTTAATTGCTCATAAATTTCACTTCACTGAAACTTTGTTCCATTTTTACAAATTTTTTTTTAGACTAATATGAAAAAGTTTTAATAATTTTATTCCATAATACCCTAATTTAATACTATAATGCCCTAATTTTACACTAATTAGTGAATTAATTATATGCGAAATATAGAAAAATTTATTCATAAGGCATAACACAACATAAAATCCTCATTTATCCAAAGGTTACGGAAAAAAGAATTTTCAATTTTCATAATATTATTTCAATTTTTATTTCAATTATTAGTTGTGAAAAAAAGAAAAAGTATATTAAATTAAGCTTTTATGAAATTAACTAAAATGATATATGCAATTGATTACTGACTCATTGAACCAATTCCGTTTGATCGAAATATTGATCAGATGTGATTTTATAATTGATTCCATTTCATTCACAACATTTTTCTCAGAAAAATCTTATGAATATTCTTAAAGAATTTAATATTAATTAGTTCAAAAATTGAATATTTCTGTGGAGTGCAAAAGGTTAGCTATGATAACAATGATAATAATAGTGATAATTGACAAAAAATAGCAGTGGTCGGTGATAACAGTAATAAATAATAGCAATAATTAATAATGGTTTAATTGATAATAACAATAATAATGACAATTAATGCGTTCTGTTATTATTTTTTTTATTCATTGCATTTATCATCTTTGTACTAATTTAATAATTTTAACAAATTTACTAATTTTATTATTTTCTTTTTCATTTTGATAAATTAATTCATGTTTTCTTACTGATATATTTACCTATTTACTTACTTACTTATTTACTTCTATATATGTAGAATGAACACTTACATTATATGCTAATTTTATTGTTTTGTTTGCTTATTTACTTGTTTTGTTCATACAAGAAAATGCATAATGTCACATTTTAACTCATTTAATTAGTTAACTAAAAACTTGTTTTATTTTTTGGAAAGTAATTGTTGTTCTATTTATAGCTAAACATATTTATTACATGATAAAATGATTAATTAAAACGATAGCGCATGACTGTTTATTTGATTTAATTGTAATACAAAATGATATCAAATAATTTTTTTGCATTATTGATATATTTAGATTAATTTGTATTATTTATATATAATTAGATTAATTATGAAGATGGAAAGAGAAAATTAATGAATTGAAGAAGGAAAACAAAAGAGGAAAAGGAAGAAAGATATTAAGTTATCAAAATTTTTAAACATTTACATTTTCATCTATAAATGAATAAAAACTTAAAAATAAAGTATATAAATGGAATAAATTTTAATTGATTGAAATGCATTTTACTTGAAAAAATTTTCAGTAGCAAAAATAGATTTCCTTTTTGTGTAATTTGTTAAATTAACAATTCATTCAGTTTTGAAATAATTCATTTCCTGTTTTAATACAAATCATTGATAGATCTTCCTTGTATATACTGAACAAATTTTTGTCGTAAGCAATTTTTAATTTCCAGTTTTATCAAAGAAATTATTTGAGTAAAATTTTTCCAACTAACAATTAGAAATGTTATACTCATTTGTTTTGTTTTTTAATGTTTCATAGGACTTTTTAACTTAATATATTATAGGAGTAATCACTTAATATATTATAGCAGTAGCATTTTCATTATTTGCCATTGTCGATAACAGTATTAGGCTTATTAAAAACGAAGCATTATCGCTGTTTTTATTATCAAAATTACTATTTATCATTATCATCATCATTACTTTCATTGTAATCATTATTAATTATCATCAATTATCATTACTGTTTTCACTGCTATCATTGTTGTTAGTTATTATTATCCTTCTTATTACTGTTATTAATTATCATCATTATTGTTAGAATTAATTTTCTCACAATTAAAAAAGATTGCATTGCAATAACTCAAAAAGCAAAATTGATCAAATGATGGTGCAATTGTAGTATTTCACAAAATTCATTCGATGTTTCTCGAGAATACTCCCGGAAATCTCGGATGCATCTGTGGAGAAACAACATAATTGCATTAATCTAATTTTTTGAAAAGCGAATGTTTTTTTAGTTTCTCGAGATTAAACTTTTATGCTTCATGTATAAAATGTAATATTGTTCGAATCTATTTGTTCATTTTATTTTTCCATCTTGTCCAAATATCCTCGGGGATTTTTCTCTCTGTATTTTCCACATTATCTTATGATATATGTCAATCAAAAAAAAAAAAAAAAAAAAAAAGAAAAAACAAAAAAACAAACAATCTTTGTCATTCTTCACTCTTCCTCTTTTCTTTTGTTGCAAAAAAATGTTTGGAAATTTAGAATTAAAATTTTTTTTTTAATTTTATATTTTTTATCTCAGTATTTTAATGTTTATTATCTACCATAAGATGGATTGAATTTAAGATTTTGAACTAGATACCGGTAAATTGCACATTTGAAAAAAAAGATGGATGATGGACCCATTAGTGATTCAATGGAAGAAGCCTAATCAAGGAATTTGAACAAGTTAAACCTTAAATTAAAATATTGCTGTTTTTATGCTTCCAATTTTATCATCCTTTTATTTTCATTTTTCATTAATGTTTTTCAATTTTTATTTTGAATTATTAATATTATTCCTGCTTAAAATTTTTCAAATAAACCATTCATGTTAATATGTCGAGTAAGAATTTTTAAAAACATATTTACGGTCTAAATTGCTTAAATCAAATAAAAAATTTCTCAACTAATGAACTAAAAGGAAAGATTAGTTAATAAGTTAACTACTTAATTAATGGGTTAATTAATCTTTCTTTTTTTTATGAAAAAAATTATTATGAAAGAAAAAAATGAAAAAAAAATGGAAGAAGAAAATAAGCAAAAGAAATTGCAACTTTTATTTGCATAATTTATTTCATATTTTAAGTTAAAGATATTTACTTATTATTCAAATCTAAAATTTGTATAAAATTTTGGTTGTTGGAACTTCAAAAATAAAAATTTACCTGACATTTATCTTTCTAACACCTAACATTAGTAATAATCATGTCATGGCCGTCAATAATAAAATGATTGACAAAATCATTTGTGTGATTTTAAAAATTGGGTCAAAATAAGATGAAAACATTTTACATACATTTTAATTGTCATGGCATCTTTATTTGCAGGCTTTTTTTTTAATTTTTTGTATTTATATATCGAAAAAAAAAAATTGAAATCAATTTTTAATAGCAAATTTTAATTTTTTGTTTATTTATTCATTTTTTTTTTCCATTCATTCTATCTCATTTATCCCAGTGCGTTTTTTGTTTTTTTAAATCACTATCGCAAGAATAGTAATGTTTATTTCAGAAAACAATAATTATATGTCTCACAACGGTTCGTTATCGATTTTTTCATCAAAACAACCGGATTATTGCAGTTTAAGAATGAATGAAAATTCTATATCATATTATCATAATCAACAGGTGCTCATTTGTTCATTTTTAAAACTTTTAATTTATCAAATTTCAATTTAAAATGCAAAAACGAAAACAAAACTTGTTTTTCTTTCTTTTTCTTCCGTTTCTTTCTCTTTCTATTTTGACTAATTAGCAAAGAGATTTTTTCTTTTTTTAGCTCAGTAATATTTATATTAATTTGCTTGACTAACATAAAAGAAAAGCGGAATAAATGATGTTTTATATTTTGTCATTCATAAATTGCATTTAATGATTCAGTTGAGTGCTTTCATAATTTAATTAAATATTTTCTGTTTGTCCTTGGATTTTATAATTATTTTGGAAATTAAAAATGAATTTATCTATTATGATTATTATTAATTCATTCACTTACTTCCTTTTCAGTAGCAAAGATAGAACTAAGATAATTAGTACTAATTATCAAAAGAAAAAAGAGACAAAGGATATAATTCTTATGATAACATAAAGTTTATAGAGTTGAAGACGGGTAAACTAATACTGAAATATGTTTTAAACATTTTCTTTCGTTTCTCCAAATTAAATTTAATTGAGCTAAATATTAATCATTTATCAATTGAAATCAATATTGTAGTTTAATTCAGAATGATACTAATACTTTTTTCTTAGTTCAATTAATTCATTCTTCGTGCTTGAAATTATTTTCGAATTAGTAATTCAAATTTGCCTCTAAATCATTGAATAATATTTTAGAAAGTAGAGCATATGGGTAAACATTTACGTCGATTTCGATTAGATGGTCGATTCCGATCATTTTGGAAATATTGTCAAGCTGATGCAGCTGTAACTTCATCACAGTCCTATGCATATGCTAAAAATAGTTCGTAATTTTGATTTAGAAATTATAATTAACCGTTATTTTTATTAATTAGTTAATGAACATCACAGTAATTGAAATGAACGATAACCTTTTATATTTAAAGGTCAACGAAAAATGGCTTCACGTACAGCAGTAAGAAGTTATCCAACATACACAGAGAACTCGTTGGGGAAATCAGTATTGGAATATTTGCGCACAGATAGCGTTCCAGTTCTAAACTTTAAACAGTCATTTTCAACGCTTCGACGATTTAAGCGACGAAATTTGGGTTAGTTTTTTTTTTTTTTTCGTTTCCATTATTGTTTTTTCTTTTTTTTTTTTTTAATTTTAATGGAATTGAAACCAAGTAATCCATCAATTTTCAACTTTTCGGAAATAAAATTAACGTGAAAGGATTTGTTTAAAGTCATTATTGTCGAAAAATAATTTACAATTAATTTAGTTCAGATATCTGTCATTTAATGAGGCAATGTTGTGATTAATTATCGACAACAAATTGCTTTTTCATCGTGAAATTTAGCTATTTGAATTATGAAAATTGATAAATAATGATAATAATGACAATAATAATAACAATTTTGATCATATTATTAGTAATGGTAATAATGTTGATGATAACAGCGACAATAAATTAAATAACAAGCATATTAAAAATAGATAAGTGCAATAATTATTATTTCTAATAATAACGATAAGATAATAATAAAATTGATGAAAAAGGCTGCAATAATATTGACAAAAATGTTAGTAGCAATGTCAATAATGCCAATAATAGTAGTATAACAGCAATACTAATTATTAGTAATATTGATAGCGACAATAATGACGTTATTAATATTAATAATAACATTGTTAATGAAAGCATTGATGGTATTAAATATCAATGTCAGTAATACCAATAATCGTAGTAATGATAGCCTAATAATGGCAAAATGAAATTATAGTGATACTAAGAAAATATTCCATCAATTGCTGAGAAATATTCGTTCAAATAAATTTTTGTCCTAAATACGAAATAATTGGAGAAGTAATAATAATATGCGTAAAATTAATAGCATAAGTAATATGTAAAAGTAATAGTATAAAGTATTAATAATTTGAATTGTCCAATAACTAAAAATTACATTTTTAATGATTAAATGTTAACAAAAGCAATGTTAAATAAACAAATAAATCGAAGCGAATAGGAAAATTATTTGCAATAAAATTTAATAATTCAAAAGAAAATTTATTTACATTATCTCATTGAAATATAGCATTCAGCTGTGTTAACAAACTGTTATTGCATTTGATGTATTGACAAACTGATTTCCAATTTCAAATATTTCAAATTTTCTTCAAAATCTCAAATTTTATAAGTTGTAATCTTTTGATTCAAAATTTGTTTATCAATTTTTTATGTTTTGTAATTATTATAATATTACTTATTTACCATTAGTAATTCATTTTAATACTTGATTTTTTTTTCTTTTAAGCAGCAATAAATTTTTTCGCTTTGGAGGAGAAATAAATTTTGAGCTAATTAATTAATTATTGATTAGCTGAATTTTTTGTAATATACAGCAAATCATTTATTTTAATTTATAATAGTTCACATTTTTGGAAATAGCAAAAGAAAATTAATGCTTCTTTTCTCATTAAGGAAAACAATATACATTTCTGCTGTAAACTTGATAGATAGAAAAGAATTTAAATTTAACCCAATTAATTTCAATATTTTTTAACTGATTAGTTCACTTGTCCACTTTTTTTGGAATTTTTATCTATCAGACATTTTTGATAAAAATTCATTCATTTGTTTTTAAATTAGTCGAAAAAATTTGTCCAATTTAGAAAATAGATTTCAAATTTTAAACTTTAATACTTTTTTTTTATATGTATATGTAATTAAATAATAAAAACATATATATTCATTTGTTTATCACTTTTCGATTAAAATACTTTTTACTTTCACTCTAACTAAATACTGTAATTTTTTTTAGTTTTAAATGAAGTAAATTAATTTTAAAGAAGTATTCCGCCATATATAGATATATTATCATAGTTATTAATTACTAATAATTATTCATTATACAGAAAAAACAAACCAAAGAAAAAGAAATCACTCAAATATACCATTTTAAATTGTTTTTTCTTAAAAGAAGTGCAAAAAATAAAAAAAAAAAAAAAATCGTCGATAGATAAAATAATAAAATAATGAAAAAGTTCAAGACAATTTAATATTTCAAATAAATACTAATGGAAGTATGCAATTAGTATAATTAACTTTTCTTTAACTTTCCACTTTAAGTTACATTATCTTTTGCTTATCTTACTAAGGGATTGTTGAAAAAAATTTCCAGCCAACTTAAAACTGAATTCATCTAGCGGATTATTTCATTAAAATTGAATTCACCAAGGAAAAGGAAAAAACAAAAAACGCAAAAGATTCACAAATCGAAAAGTCGAAAATAGCCAAACTCAAATTTTATCCATCGAAAAAAAAATTTTTTTTTTAAATTTATATTATTTTCAAATGTTTCTTTTTTCTCACTTTTTTAATAACATAACTTAAAAAGTTATTTTTTTTTTTGTCTTTTTGCAAATTACTGGAAAGTAAATGATTTCAGCAAAATCTTTGGTAATTAATAAAAATTTGCAATTTTTATGAACATGCAATAAAAAATTTACTGTTTTCGAAATCTTTTTAGATCCTATGTATTAACATATGAAAAATGAAAAAAAAAATTTTACCAAAATCTTTTTTTTTTTAATTTTTTAAAAATAATCAATTTGTTTTTTTGTTTTGCCATTGAAAATAACAAGTGTTATATTAATGAAATCAAATTACAAAACATTCAATTTTTTTAACCAAACATTTTGGCTAACAAATGGTATATGCATTTTATGCTTATTAATGAATTAATGAGCAAAAAAGCTCAAAACTATTACGCTTTTCTTTTCTTTTTATTTTTTTTTTCCCTTTAATAACTTATTTGCTTCTTTTTCTTTCTCCATTTTTGTCTGTTTTTATCAATCAATGATAAATGTTTGCTTGTTTTTCTTGAAAGAAGAAGCTTTTTTGTCCTTTTTAGAAAGAAAAATAACAAAAAAGAAAGGAAGAAATGAAAAGTTTACTGATAATTCAAGAAAGGATGAAAAATTGGCCAAAGTTATAGGCTATTTTTTGTAACCTATAATTTTTGCCTAGATGTTTGTCGTCAAATTGCATTTCTTTACTCTTAGGCTGTTTTTTGCATTTGAAAATGATGTACAGTTAAAAAAAAATTGTTATGAACGAATTATTTCAAATATACTTATTATATTTGTATATATTAATGACCTCATTTAGAGTGTGGCTGCAAAAAAGTTTTCATTTTAATTTCTATTTCAATTATCTTTTAACCAAAATATTTTAACTGATAAGACAAATTTAATGCTTTAGCTATCATCATCAGTATCAGTTATCATTGTTGTTAGTACCTATCATTTTCAAATTTTGTTTCATTCAAGCATCGATTTCTATTGCTTTTTTCTAATTACATTCATGAATAAATTACATTCATGAATATATTTCTAATTACATTCATGAATAAATTAAATTAGTAAATAGTAATTTTAAAAATTTTCACAAAATAATTACAATTTTTATTATCTATGTAAAATATTACTGTTTATAATTACATCACCAAAAAGTATATGTGCACAAATTTAAAAAATAAGTATAATGTCAATATGAGACTTTATTCATTAATTTATTAAAATAAGAACTTAATCTTTTTCAAATGTAAGTGCAATTATTTTGGTTAGTAATTTTTATTCATAAATTTTGCCAATTATAATTTGATAATTGCATGTTACGCTTTTTCTTTAAACAAATAATACCAACCGTTTTGCAAACAATTTTATTATTAAATGTCAAATTCATTTATCGTAATTTTTTTCTTACTCAAATATTATTAATCTCTTTGAAAGTATTACTATTATTACTATTAATACAATACTGCCATCAATTATAATAGTAAAGTAATGGATTAATGAAACAATCGATTAAAATTTTATCATTCTAAAGGAAAACAGCAATTCATTCTTGTTAAATTTTTTTCATTTTTTTTTTTCAAGAATCAAATATAATCAATTTAAAACGCTAAAATTTGAAAATTATGTAATCTTTTACCATCTAATCGTCTTTATCGCCATGGCAGCAAAGCTAAACTTTTTGTAAATTCCGTATTACATAAGCTTTTCTTATTTTTTTATCCATTTTTCTTTCAAGTATTTTATTAAAAACTTTTAAAATTTTCAAAAATAACCCATTAAAAATAATTTGAATTTGTTTAATTTTATCAAACTAAGTAACTTCCCGAAAAAAGAAAAGCTTCAAAGATTTCATTTCAATTTTTTGTTTTTATTTATACACTTTTGTTTTCCTTAGGATGTCATTATTAAAAAAAAAAAAAAAAAAAATTGTTTGTTTAGTTCTTTAATTGACATTTTTAATCATGTCACAATTTTTATTTTTTACATTAATCTTAACATTGTTATATACTCATTTTATTTTGCAACGTAAAAAGATGCGAACAATTGTGTATTATTTTTTTTTTTTTGTGTGTAGTTGATATATTAGAATTTTTATTCAAAAATTCTTGTAAACATAGAATTTTTTGCTAAAATTTAAAAATTATTTTTTTTTTTTAAATGGATAGGAAAAAGAAAATTTTAAAAGTTAATAAATATTTTGAAGAAAAGAAATCAAAGAAGAAGAAAAAACTAAAGCAAATTTAAAAATGGAAAAAAGTTCTAGGAAATTGGTTAAAAGAATAAAATATTTTTGAAATGAATAAGAAAAAGAAGAAAGAAAGGAATACAAAGGGAAGGTTAAAGGTTAACTCGAGAAAGCTTTTTATCACTCATTTATTAGCAATAGCTATTGCTCTGTTCACATACCTATCACATATCAGAGACAGATGTTCAATTCTGGTTGTAATAAGTTTGAGTGGGATCAGATGAAGAAGCAATTCCATTCTTTTTCCTTTTCATCTTCTCTTCTCTTCACAGTTGTTAATAGTGTAGTGTTATCCGGAATACTTAATCTATTGAAATACTGCTTATCTCCGGAATTATTAGTGACAGGAATTATTTATTGACAGGATTATGGTTGTTAAAAATTACTCGACGCATTACAAATTCCTATAGAAATTATTTGTTCGAAATTTTATCAAAAGATTATAATTGTTAGCAAATTATTTGAAATATTACAAGTTTCATAGGAATTGTATCAGGAATTGCTGAAA